CTCACATTAAAGAAACTGCAAACGATAACTAATTATGATAAGTTGCTATGTAAAATACTCAATGACAGCCCCAGCAATCAATTTCAAGCACAAATAGGCCCAACCCCTGGTTGTAGGAGAGGATGAGTACCTAACAACTGTGTCAATAAAAGTAATGGCAAGATTGCCAACAAGAGCTGGATGGTTATCAAATCCTTGTAGGTTTCCATAGCAGTTTTTTGACTTAGTTATTTTGTACATTCTCTTGTATACATAAGAAGTCCAGTGTTCAATATGGCAAGCTAACTATGACACATCTTCCGGACTATGTTAGCTTCAACAAAATAAAAATAATTCTGAAATGTTTTACTGGGTTAGCATTTATTTTGCAAACTGGAAAGGGCTCCTCAGAATGCTAGCTGTTGGTGAGTTAGGATTATGGGAGAGGTGTTGGACTGTTTTAACTAGACATCACTGCCACCCTCTTTTGAAGGTGTTGTTTGCAGCTCAGAGGAAGAGCTGAAAACTGTATTTCCCAGAATCCCCTTGGTGTGTAGTTTTAGGTTAAAGTTGACCAGAGACGGACAATGGAGGATTACTGGGAAATGTGAAGAGGAAAGGGAAGGCAATGGGTAGGAAGTACTAATGTTTGAAGCAGTGAAAAATTTGACGGCTTCCTCCCACTACATACATACACCCCTTTCCATACCCAACCGGTGCTACAAATTGACAAAGACCATTGGAGAGTCTAAGGTGTTCCTGAGATGTGCAGGAATGTTTCAGAAAGCTCTTGAGAATGATCCACCTCACTGCTGAGGCTGTGACTAGGTGGCATCTTCACTGCTTATAAAAGCCTCTCTTCCTTCACATTAAAACCCTTCATAAGTTGAACACACAGTGATGTGTCTTCTATTTTGCCTGTCAGAATTCAGACTGATACCATAGCATTTTCCCTCTGGTTTTTCACACTTTCTAAGCTTCTGAATTTGAAAATAAGTTGGGGGTGTGTGTGTGGGGGGGAGAAGCTGTGAAGGAGGAAGTAACAGAATTTTTTGAACAGAAATAGGCAAGGATGTTGCACTATACTGCAGCTGTAGCCTCAGCAGAGGCTTCAAAACTTCACCCCAGCTGTGGACACTTCCTGGTTGTCTGTCCTATTTTTCTCCCTTTCTCCAGCACAATGCCAGAATGAGTCCTGCCTGTACTTGTTCAACATATCCTGTGTGAGGGACAAATGTCAGGAAGGCCTGGAAATCAAGGACACAGAACTCTGATTTTGTTCCTCCTGTCACTAAGTGACTCAGTCTCCCTCAGCAGTTCTTGCTGTCACCCTCTATAAACTAGGAATGATAATACTCACCCTCTTGATGTTATAGATTTTCCAGGACAACATGGTCCTATACTCTAAATAGAAATGTTTTCTCCAAAAGACACAATGGTCTATATAAAATTAAAGTCTATATCTAATAGTTACCAGATAAAGAGTGGCAATACCTTGTGTTTAGGGGTCTGTGCTATTCATATTTTGCCAACATGTTTTGCCAACATTTGAACATTATAAAGAGACAACCACTAATGGCACAGTACGTAGATTGGCACCAGGAGCATGTGAGGTTATTGACACACCCCTTCTGCCCCCTATATTCTTATGGCATGCTCCGACCTAGGGCAGGACTCTCAAAAAGACTGCAGTGCTGAAACATGTGTCTATAACAGTACAAGTGTATATTACAACCTATGTCTTAACAGAGAGGATAGCCCCTTCTTTGAGAGATTCTGTTCTGGTAAAATAATTCCAATAGTTGCTTCAGTTTATCATGTTCCCTTCTTACTATCAAAATACCAAAGCTTGAAAACTACATTGAAGTAACTACCTACTTGGAAGTTATATTGTGGCTAAATGTCATCTGGCAATGAATCAATAGTTAGGCTCCTGCTATTGGGTTGAGTCTGGGGAAGGAACAAAGTAAATTCTGAGGTCCATAGGATTGGCCTTCATCTTCAGAGTGTGCTCACCCACAAAGGAAAAAACGGCTCCTTTCTGAAAGGCAGTCAAGTTACCTTACAGAAGTATCTGAGTTTCTGACATTGCCCTGGGTCTCTATCACTCATTATGTACTAGACAAATATACACTGAGCTCCAATTAAATAAGAGGGTCTATGCCAGGCACTTCAGATTACAATCGTCTTTACGCACGTACCTCCCCCTCCCAAACAAATGTATAGCCTATCTATAGCAAAACAGCCCACAAGTAGGGAAAATTGACCTAATGGGATGTGTAGGTTGGAATCAGAGGACTCTTCCTTGAAGCTATGATGTTTAGGCTGGAATTTAAAGAATGAATAGAAGTCAGAGATGTGAAAGAGAGGAAAAGTTAGATTCTGTACTGCTCTTCATGGAGTTTTCATTTATGAGGAGCTGGCATTATACCTGTATTTGCCCTCTCTTTTACAAAGCAGGATAAGAACAAAGAAGATAGAAACTACCACTTCAAGTATCTCAAGAAGGGGGAAAACTCAATATAGATAAGTTCAGGAAAAATTTCATGAGAAATTTTCACACATTACTATCTCTGAAAATAGTAATAGCAGAAAATATCACACATTTCTATCTCTGTGATGTATGGGTTATCTGTTAATTAAAGATGGAAAAAGAGAATCCTCTATTGTCTGATCGGGCTTCTGGGCCCAGAGTTTCATTGCATTTGAATCCACAGTCTCTGGGACATGAATCTTGGTCCTATCATAACTGACATTGGAAGTTACATAAAAGGACAAGTAAAGGGAAAATGGCGTGTGTAGGAAAATAGCAATTTGCACATGAACTACTGCCTCTCAGTTTGTATAGTTGTTGGCGCGGAATGAAAAGAGATTGGGAACTGGATGACTCAAAAATGATTTGCAAATAGAATTTCCACTAAGGTTTTTAAAGACTAAGTTTCAGACATCAGAGAGAATTTCTCTTGGGCAAGAATTGATATAATCTGCCCTCACAATGTTCAAATAACTCTCTGCAGAAGTGTTTGTAAACTGTCCACAAATGTATACACAAATAACACTCAGTTTGGTGATTTATATGATCAGCAATTTAGATGAACTGTAAAAAAGTCAAGATGTCATTAAATGATTCTATTCTGAGTGCCAAAAAACATGACTTGCCTCATGTGTCAATGTATGATTTATATCAAACTAAAAGGTGACAGCTTTATCTTCTCCCTGCATAAGTAAGTCCAATAACCCAGCTTTAATGGTTTTCTTTGGCTCTTCGTTCTGGTCTTCACCCAACTTAGGACCAAAAAACTGGTGATGGCCTCATGAAGCAGAGGTACAATTTTTCAACATCCAAATCCTTAGATTGAGATGTCTGTAATTGGCTCCTTTTAGATAACATTTTTTTACCACTTATTTTGGGGTTCTGATGCTATCCATGGGCACCTTTATTCACTCTAACAACCTTCAGCATTTTTGTATACTCCAAATAGAACTCAAAAATATCTCCCAAACATATAATGTTACATTCCATTTCTTTAAGATTCAGATTTCTCATTTCCTTGTCCTATTGTTGTGATTTTCATTTATCTAATCACTTCCTCCTGTTGTGAAATCTTAATTTCAAGGCCAGATGAATTTTTACCAGTGGACTTGAGGCCTCTGAGACTTTAATTCCTATGAGGATACTCAACAGTCTACAGAGTACATTTACCCTTATATAAACACAAAAACCCAAAGAGTAAATCCATGAGGAGATGATACTGGGGTTAATTTATTATCCCTTCTAGAAATTGTATCATTATTTCTCTAAGAGAATTCCAAAAATCACACTCTAAGGGCATACACTCCAGACCCTTATAAGCATATTCAATAAAGAAGACCTGTTCATGCAATGTTAAATGTTACATTGTCATCTATTTACCTTACTGTAAGCAAAACTATTTCTTGCAAATGTTACATTTAATGAAAAGAATCACAGCAAAATGAAATTGAACCAACATATGTTAAAATGTAGAAAAAAATTATGGAATCATCATCAAATAGGCAACACAGTCCATATTGCAAATATCTGAGATCCTGGATTATTCTTGTTTCCTGCAGAATATATGCACACCCTTTGGCCCACAACCATGTGTCTTCTCAGCCTTCGCTCCTAACCACCCATTTTGCAACATAGCTGGGAGGATGACAATGCTGGAAGTCTTATTCAGTGTCCCCTGTATATACAAAGGCATTTTCTTGCTTGGGGAGATGTTACAGTGTGTGATGACTTCAACCCAAGTCTGTTTTTACTTACCTTTGGAAGGTAGATTCACAGCTTAGGAAACATGGCTGAAGCCATAACCACAGTAAAACACGGTACACAAGTCACATTACATAGCATCTCCCTATCCTAACCACCTTCCACAAAAGTGACCAGATCGAGCTCAGGCCAAGCAGTCAGGTTAAGGGATAGGACATTCTTCAATTATGCTCCACACAACTCAAAACATGGCAAAGGTTTACAAGAACTGAGTAAATCAGATTAACATTCCCAGGCACAGAGAATTCAGGAAACAGCACAACTGACTCTCTCCAATGTTACCAGGCACACTGAAATTCATTTTCACAGTAATGCAGAGTTCATTCATTTTGAAATTATAGATTTCAACTATTAAACTCCCAAACAATGATGCCTTTACAAATATTAATGAGTCTCCCAATTTCTCTCCATCATTTTTCTCTCCATCATTTTCTGGAGGTAACCATCTACTTAGTAATTTTTAGGTACTAAATGTCCTTATTTAAGGGAAAAATAATAAAATTGTATTATACCATGGATTTATTTGCCTTCCCAGTAGACCGCCACTAAATTTTGTTTAATATGAGTTAAAATCACTAGGTTTGACAGGTATGGTTTTCTCATCAAGGACTTAAAAAGCACCGTGTTCCTTCTCAAGTGCCGAGGCAGCAATAATGAGCCCAGAGCTCTACATAACCAAGTGTCCCTCTGTGCAACCACTGAGAGCAATAAAAAGTTTAGTTCCTACCTCTGTGGCTGGTGAGCTCTCTGGAAGCAGAAGGCAGGGGTGTATAGTGGTGCTCTGGAGAGGCAGCAACACTGTCACTGGAATCCTGTGATAAAAGCAAATATCCACCATGAAGCAATACTTAATACTAAATACCTTTGCTTACCAAACATTTTTCCTTGGGACCTGGGTCTGGAAGAACACTATCAACTAAGGCTCAGGAATATAATACAGGAATACAATCAAGACTCAGGAAGCAAGAGCTCTCTCTATTGAGATAATATTCTTGTAAGTGGAGACAGAATACAAAATGTTGAGGGGCCTCAGTAAGGAGGGACAGGCTCTGAGACGAGGGGATGGCTTATTCATTGTGCTGCATTGAGGAAAGGAGGAGGTAGGAGAGAGGGAAGTGGATGTCAGGGAATGGTAAGACTTCTGTAAGAGGTCTTCTTCCAGTAATTTCCACAAATGAAATCTCACTGTCAGTAGACTTTTATTCATTTTTTAAAGATTTATTTATCTATGTATACAGAACTGGGGTACAGGCCAGAGGCACAGGGGTGGTGAGAGGATTCACCAGAGACAGAGTGGGGAGCAGAACAGGCAGATCAATGAAGTTCACTGCTGAGGGGAGCAATGGGCGGGTCAGGAGAGGTCTGCCTCACCGTGTGGGTCAGCCCCAGGGTGGGGGATTGAACTCATGCTGAAGTGGTTTTAGTTTCTTTAGTGCTGTGTTTGAACCCTCTGCACCACCAGGGAGGGGCCTGTCCGCAGACTTTTATGGACACCCAGTAATGAGGCTGAACTTTGCCACAGGATGGATGAGGCCCAATGGCCTGGAGACAGTGAGATTTCAAGACGTAAGGCAGGAGTATGGCGTGACCATATGGAAGGACAGAAATTATTGCAAACTTTGCAATGGTATCTCTGGCTAAGTTTATCCATATTACCTTGAAGTTGGAAATTGAAAGGCTGTCTACAAAACTTTGCCATTCTAAGACTTCCATCACATGAAAAATACCTATGAAGAAGCTTTGGATTGTACACAAAGAGCTCTTAAACTATCATACCTTATACGGGTGACCCACTGTTAGCCGCCTCTTTCTCTAACTCTATATCCATGGGGGCCATGACAGGAAGTAAGGGCTATGGCTGTGGTGACCACTGTCACTCAGAACTGATGACAGGTAAGCCACCTTCAGACTCTGGCTGCTTACAGCAAGAAGCATCACCACTGCAACTCTGAGAATTCTGAATCAAATGCTACTTTTCTTTTAATATCCAAAAATGAACATCTGCTAGGATCAAAATCCTAAGCTTACAACCTTTCCAAGCTTCATGAAAAAGTAAATTTCATTAATGCTACATTTTTCTTTCTGGAATAGGAAATACATTCTATGGGCTATATTTGCCCTGCTAGGGGCAGACTTTTTCTCCAAAGAGATTATCTACATTATAGGAATCAAAACTAAGTAGGAGATTAGACCTACTGGCTAGAAAAACCCTTTAAACCCTGGTTCTGACATTTGAGATGTTTGATTAAACAGCTTTCAGGGGAGACTTATAGAAAGAGTTCTGAATGGAGCAAAATCAGAAGCAGCGTCCCTAAGGTAGACAGATTTCAGGTAGCATTACTTCACCCCAGCTCCAAGGGAAATATATGGTGCTTAAACCTTGACCCAAGGGTATCAGGTCCAGCTAGATAAAAGTTCAGTCACCAAAAATAATGTTTTAAAAAGAAGATAAAACTTGCTAGATAGCACATCATTATATATTTACAATATGAAAAAATATACAAAGAACAAGAAATCAGTTTAAAATTCAAAAATTAGAATCATCATGTGTCTCCCCATTTGGCATTCAGGGATTTGCAATTCCTACAGAATGAGTCTCAAGGACTGTGCTCTGTATTGTATCTTGTCAACCCCATTTATGTATGGGATAGAGACATGGGGCAACCTCCATAGTTCTGGAAGACTTCTGTAGTATGTCGTAGAGTCTATTGGTGTTTCTGCTCACCTCACTGGTTGATAAGAAAGCCCAAAATTCTGGTATAAGTTGTAAGTTGCTACATTGTGATATTTCTTAGTATTTTTAATCTCAATTTGGGCCGGTGACAATTTGATGACAGCTTTTCCTAAAATTACTAGAAAAAAACTACCTTTCAGCAAATACCTCTGGCTGGGCAAAACATTAGACTTTTATAACCAAGAGTAAAATAGCTATTTAGTTTTATTTCCAATTGTAGTCAAAGAAAAAATTGTGTGACTTGAGTTCTGTTTTGCAGTCATCATTCTATGCCTCACATTTAATTGCATTTGTCCTCAGTGGCCATTTATAAACTCAAGTCATTGAAAGAATCCAGTAAAAGAACAATTTTGAAACTACGTTTTTTGATGAGACTTCAAATGGATGGATGTTTAGGAAAACTACAAATAAAGATTCAAGTAGAGCCTTTGGCTTGGCTTTTGTTAAAATGAAGACCACATGACCTTTTCAACAGTATATAACATGTGTTCTCTGAGTATTATGCTTATAATCATAACGCAGAAAAGCACAATTATCATATGAAGGAAAAGGACAAAGCAATGCCCTCAGTTGGCACACTATTTATCCCATTATAAAAAAACTCCTCTTGAAACTTAAGTATATTGAGTAAAGTAGAAACAAATGAATACATTTCAGTAACTTCTTTTAACCTGGTTTGAGAAGACCTGCCTAAAATAGGAACTGGGAAATTTGGGTGAATCTGAATTTTCAGAAATATAGATACTTACAAATCTTGAACCCTCACCGAAGTCTCTAACCAGTTATGGCAAAGAATTTCTAGCCTTTAAGTTACTCCTGTGAAGAGATATTCACAATATCTATAATGCAATATCAGTATCCAGAATAGACAAAGGATGTCCACATAGAACTAAAAATTTAGTAGAAAAAAAAAAAAAAAGGACAAAAGACACATCAGGTAACTTAAAGAAGAGAAAATCTGAGTGAGGTAAACAACGAGGAAATGGTCAAATTTACTCGTGTTAGGGGTTGCACAAATAAAATAAGTTTTTAGCACCTATCACACTGGCAAGCATTTAATGTCACATAATGACAGGTCATACGGAGAACAAATAGCAATAAAACTTTTCTCATACCTAGCCAGTGGAAATAAAAACTGTTTCAACTACATTGGAGAATAATTTAGCAATATTCAATAATATTGAAATTCCATTAAAATATATACACAATGGAAATTTTCACTTAGGTCTGTAGGCTGGAACGTAAAACAATGCTCTGACAGCATTGTTTGTAACAAAACAAACTGGAAATAATTGACTTGTCCATAATGAGGAAAATGGGTAGTGCTATATACTTCTGTGATGGAGTAATATTTAGCGATGAAGAGCAACAAATCTGATTTATGATATCAACTTGAATAGGTCTAAAAACTAAACACAGGGTGAAAATTCAAGTTGTAAAATGATAAATGTATATATTGCTTACACAAATACGTATAATTCTTTGACCTCATGGGTGTATGAAAACATGTAAACATTATAAAAGTTAAACACAATTCATGAAAATGGGTGCCTCTACCAGGGGACTGAGTAATAGATCTGGGGCTTGTGGTGTGGAAGAACTTCAATTTTATATATGAGACCATTTCTCTATTTTAAAGACGGCTTAAAACAACCATGTCCAACTACTAGAAAATATAAACCTTGGATGGTAGTTATATGAGTAATATGTATTTTAAATGTTCCTTTTGTTTTTCATTTCTCAAAATTAAACAAGAAAATTGAAAAACATTTCTACTCTGTTTCTACCTTTATCTCTTTAGTCCCATATTGATAGGACCCCATATTTAGAGGGAAGTTTCCTCCAACAATTGCTCAGTACTTGCACCACATGGATTAATACCATGTCTGGTTGACTTCTTATGATGAAATATTCCTTTTGTGTTTCTTCTAAAGCTACTGAGTATGACGAGAAAGTGAAAAGGCTTCATAATGGTATAGATGTATCCCCTTCAAATCAAGGTTTGAAGTGCTCATTCCAGCCTTCTGCTTAAGATTTGTCAAAAAGCACAGTGAGTGAGTTTCTCTAATCTTCTCTTACTTACCATTGGAGAGTTACTAATAATTTTTTAAATTCACATCAATAATGATAATAGTCACTAATCTACTGCTCTCTGCAGTCTCCATTATGCAGGAAGGAAGGTAGAACTTTGGCAAACTTCCTGGAAAAGATTCAATGAAAGTACAGTCCCGCCTGTGAGAGGCGTGTGAAGTGAGAATTTCACTCAGCGGTTACTGAAAACAAATGTCTTTGGATGAATGTCTAAAATTCAAGCCCCTTCCCATTGGGTGTATTCTGCGGAAACCTGCATTCCAGTGGATATTTCTGAACATTACGGATGCCCTGAAGGAACATGATACAGACCGCAGGAGGAGAGACTTGGCAGGCTTCAAAACAAGAAGGGGGTAGCTACAAAGTTGTTTAATAGCCATAAATCTCCCACTATTTTTCACAAAATACCATCTAAGACCACAGCTCCACAACTCATTCCCCATCACTCAGCTCAAGTGGAGCGCTTTGGCATGCTCACTCACCCTTAAATCACATACCGCATAAAGTGATCCTGGGTCTGGGAAATTTGTCAGCCTCTTTCAAGCAAAAGCAATCTTCACTTTTCATCACAATTCATTCCCTGAAACTGTGGTATAAAGCTGACTCCTCTAAAAACATTTATTTTTTCTCATAAGAAAAAGCATCACTCACTTAGTTAGCAAGTATTTAATAACCACCTACTATATGTCAGACCCTGCTCTGAGAATAATAACAGTAATAGATGAGGACAGGGACTCTGCATTCCTGAGTCATTGAAAAAAATTATAACCACGATTAATACTGATTCTTAAAAAAGTCACTAACGTAGAGCATGGCCCGCAGTGTCTGTAGTATCACAGAACTTTGTCCCTGTCCTCCACAGAGGCACCTGAACACATGGAACAGTAATTGTATCCTTGCGTGTTTCCTATTCATACTAAGGGAAAGTTTACTAGATTAACAGATATTCACTTTCTGAGATTAACTATACTACTAACCCTTGGACCC